CATCTAATGTGCATATGTGCCTAATTAAACAAAATCTTTCTCATCAAGAAATTTAGCAAAGGACCAAATAAATAACTGAGACCTTTTATCAGATGCAGGAGTGCAGATGCTTGTGGACTCAGGCCAAAGTCAGGGCCAAAGAAAAGACCTTGAACTGAGAGACACAGACATCTCAGCAGAAGATCTGCCAACTCCTTCAGCAAATATGATCCAAACATGGTATAACACCAGTCTGGCCAAGTTATTGTGTGTCTGCAAGCGATTTCTTTTGCATGTGTTCCACAAATTAAGAGTGGGGACAGGCAAAGAAGCCCAGGTGTTCATTGTTCCTTTGGTTAGCACTATTGTGTGCTTAGGGTCAATCTGGATTGCCTTTTCGGATACCTTGTGACTAAAGTGTATTTGATTACAAAGTGATTCAGGATCCCCCCCCCCACACACACACACACACAGCTCTGTTGGTACCGTTGTTGTACCTGAATGGGTAACTTTTGTTCCACTAGGCCTGAAGGGAGATACAAAAGAGTGTGGCAATCATAAGACCATTGCACTGCTCTCCCATGCAAGCAAAGTGATGCTCCAAGTGTTGCAACAAAGAATAGGCCTTCTATGGAGCAAGAAATGCTGAATGTACATGCTGGATTCCAAAAGAAAAAGGCACTAGAGATCATAGATGCACTAGAAGAAAAGGAAGGAAGACCCAATATGAGATGAATTGAATACATAAGGGAAGCCGCAGCCCTGAACTAGGAAGAGCTGAATGGCGCTGTCATGGACAGGACATTTTGGAGGGCTTTCCTTCATAGGATCACCTTAGGTCGAAGATGACTTGATGGCACCTAACAACAGGCCGGAGGGGTAGCAGGAAGTCATGGTGGAGAGCAGAGGAGGGAGGAGACTTGTCTGGGGATCTTGGTCGGAAAAATCCCTAGGGAGCTGAGGAGGATTCAGCAGTCTGTTGTGGACTCTCATCCTGATCTTGGCCTAAGTAAACTTCGCATGAAAGACCTGCCACAAGCCTGCTGCAGCAGCTTCCATTTTGGGAAACTGAAGTTTGAGTTAAGAGCATCACTCTCACAAGCAGGGTGCACAAGTGCAGTAGTACAGTGCTCTGAACTGTAGTGACTATGAAATATCGCTATAGGCAAATTCCAAAGAACTTAAGGCAGATTCTGTGCTGCATGAAACATGGGATTTTAAATGGTAATTCGGGGCAAGATGATGATTTTAAAACTGGGCTTTTATCATGGATATTTGTGCAGGAATCTAGAACAGCTGCTCTGACATTTTTTGAAATCCCCAGCAGTGGATGATTTTACAAGTTAATATAAAAAAGAATTAACACATAAATGCATAAATGGGATTATATATTAGAACAATGATGTCCATACACCCTGAACACCAGTTTTAGGTTTTGTTCCTTCCCATAGCTGTTATTTCATATAATCATATTATGCATTTGTTTTCTTATGCCATGGATTAGGAGAATTTATTCCTCCTAGATTTAGCCAAGTAATTTTAGCTGTGCTCATGATTACAGCATGCAGCTTGCACAGGTACATCACTATAGGAAAACACCAGCTTTGGAAAAAACATCACTACCCCATATATCCTTGAATGCTGCAAGTCCCTAAATCTGTAAATTGAGAAAAGATCCTTCATTTCACTTTGTAAAATATTCTTTTATTAGATTCCTTAGATACAATTGGGTTTTTTCCCCCACAACCTGGGCAGGAGCCACCTGCTGAATAAGCTATGCAGTCTGCCAGTGCCACAGTATACCTAACAAATGATTCGGCTCATTTTGGCTTGCTCCGCCCCTCCTTTTCCCTTGATCATCTAGTTCATGACAGAACCCATTTTGTCTTGTCTCTCCTTCCGTTTTGATTAGTACCTCCTTTTGTTAACTTTTTTAAAAAGCCTAAGTAATTTATTTGTGCTCACAGTTTATTATTATTGATATTTGTAGGTCTTTCGCAAGTGTGTAAGAGTATGGCTGTTCAGTATGAGAAGTTGTGCCTGGTCCATTTCTTCATCTGTTTCAGCTGTCAAAGAGACTGGTGAAGAATGGCAGATAACAGATTGAGGAGACTGCATTCAAGATTTATGGACAGTTACCAGGAACTGCCAACTGAAAAGGGGGAAAAGGCTGCAAAGGGCTGCAAAAAAAGGTGTACCTGAAAGAAGTTGAGAACAAAATCTCCCACTTAGGAGTGTAACCCTTTGGTTTTAAAGCACTGAACCAACAGTTCTGTGTCCTCTACAGTTTTTGCACTTTCCCAAATCTGTAGCTAGTCCAGAAAGGGAAGATTTCAACTCCCCACACTTTTCATGGCTCCTTTTCAGAGCATTTACTGCTGCAGTTATTTTGGCCCCATGATTAACTGCACTCCTGCACATTTGTAAAAAAGTGACAATGAATGAACACAATAACTTAATGAACACAATAACACTGTTTTCTGTGCCTGAAAAATAGAACTAAAAGGATGGCAAAGCAGTAACATCACTCGAAAGTGCTGCTTAAATATTAGCGTAGGGACTCTCTCTGGTGACAACATAGGCAAGATTGCAAAGTGGCAGTTTTTTGCCCTTCTTGCAACAGTTTGCTCATCAGTCCTCAGAAACAATAATAAAATTGCTTTCTTGGGTTTGGCTGACCAACCAAGTCATAGTGGGTCAAACAACCACTTAGAATATGTCCTGATTTGTCAGGTTGGCTTGTTGCCAAAAGCTAAGCCAGCACAACCTTACCATGGCTGGTTACACAATGGGTTGTCATGCCATATAAATCAGATCAAGTAATTCTAGGAAATTCAGTTTTCAAGTCTTCAGCTGGGAGTGTCTCAGGAACATCAATATGGGTTTTCTTGTTCCTATCACAAGGTGTCAGGCAATATTTAATGAACTGCCATATATATGATTCCCCTCTATGTTAAACAGCTGCCTTGATGCAGCTGTGAGGGTTTGTTGTACCTGCTCCTGCAGGTACTGACCTAGCCAGAAAGTTTGCAGTCAGTAAAGCAGCTTCTTGAATTAACCCTCCATCAGAATTAGTTCAGTATATGCAATTGCTGGACAGTTCATCTGAAAGGGATGGTTTAAGCTAGAGTCCTGCACTGAGCAGTGAGTGGGACCCAATGACCCTCTGGCCCCTGCCAACTCTACTATTCTATGATTAATTCCAGTGCACACTCCCAACACAATTCCTGTTGCTTTTATGTATGGAAACATGCAACCGTTGAGTTTGCAGTTTCTCTCTCATACTCTACTGTGCGGGACTATGCAAACAAAATGAGAAGTAAAAACTTTACAGGTAGGTGTCAATTGCAGTGCATGTAGTAACTTCAAAGTGAGCATGCCAACTTGATTGTAGGACACACATATTTCTCTCATCATGCTGATAATCGCAAAGTGAGAATTGGGCCAAATACAAGGCGGCTGGAAGAATTCAGGGATCAGCCCTGCCCTTAAGCTGAAACTGTTTTATGTGGTTCCAACAACTTTAATGTACCAGTTAGTTCTTTCAAAAAGGCATGGGTTGCGGGGGAAGATACGATTAATGTATGTCTTTCATTTCCTTGTGTGTATACACACACTCTCTCAACCAACCCTTTCTGCCAGGGGAGAGGCATTTGTTTGCATCCTTTTCAACTTATTACTACACTGCCTAAAGCAAACTATCTAAACAGAAAGACTGAAAATGCTAGATTAAAAACTTTCTTGCATGCATATCATACTAATACCTATACAAATCCTGACATTGCCAAGAAATGAGTTTTATCTTAATTGTTTTTTACAGGTAAAGAAGGTAACAGGTAACATTAAATTATTACTAGATGCTAAGGATAAAGAACCTATAATCACACGCATCCTTGTCAAAAGGAATAAAGGACAGTTCTCCTTGTCATATCATGGTAATCCACTATGAATTCTCAGTTTACAAAATAACAAACCATGCATTTATGGTTTTGTAGGTTGTTTGTGGTTAACAAATGGTGGTTTGTTTGCAAAGCTACATTCAGATAACACAATAACTAAAGTGTCAACAACCATGCACAGTTCAATGACAACCTGCATTCAACCCTTACACAACTTGTGTGTGGGGGGTTATTGTGTTGTCTGAAGCCCAGCTTGTCTCTAACAGTGTCCAGCCAGACACCCCTGGAAAGCCTCAAAAGCAGTGCAAGGTGCAGATAATCATCTCATGTGCATTACTGCAGTATATACTTTTATGTGGGGGACAAGAAGATATGTAACCATTTTATACTTTACACATTAGGAACAATATTACATATCATGGGTAACTTTACACTTTTATTGGAAGGAGTCATCCATAAGAGTGGGGAGCATCATTTGGTATGCTCCCTCTCGCCTACAACATTACGTATAAATGGTAAGATACCACTTCTACAAAGGGAAATTCCTGTATGTATGTGCACATGGATCACATTGCACTGCATGTTTAGTAAGGGTATGAAAGCATTCATGCTCCCCTAACATATATCTGAAGGGCCCATTTTTGCTCAGTATGTGAACCAATTCTATACTTTGGCTGTGACATGAGAACAACTATTAAGTGTGGAGCACCACCATCATGGATGAGGCCAGACAAACAGGAAAGGGTATTCAGCACTCCACCCACTCCCAAAAGACTTACAAGCACTTGTTTTGCAGAGACTGGAAATCAGGAAACAGATGGGACACACCACAACAGTTAAAATTTTTTATATATTTTGGAATCTCAAAGTACAGTCAGTTTAAATGCATGTGGGGTATTTCAACTCCCTTCCGTCAGATGCCAGCCAAACTAGAAGTGTCACTGATGTTGTCTCTATAGCAACATTGCCCTCTCCTACCAAACTGGTTCATTCATTCTCTACCCTCTGAAAAAGCTCATATTCTTTCATGTGGATATTAATATTAGCCACCTACATGCACATTCATATTTTAGTTCAATGTAAAATAGGATGTTCTCCAAAGATCCAATACAAACGATGTTGTACTTTTCAAGAAAATATGTCTTTATTTTCTTTAGAGATCCGTGTCCATTATAAAACAATGAGTTTCAAATACATGTGAATACTGCATAAAAAATAGGATAGATTTCCCACAGAACTTGTAACCACCCTTACACAATGGAACTTATAACACCATCATTTCAGAATGCTGAGGTCACACTGAGTCCTTCAAGCTACATAACGTCTTTTTAAATGAACAAACATCTTCCATGTGGAGAGGAAACATCTGTGGGTGCCATTTTGGAAAAAATAATATTTCTCCCAAGGTTTCTCCCCACCATCCACACCCAAACTTACACCTCCCTCAAAACTTTAGAATGGAGAAAGATCTTTGATTCAGACATCACTCCATTGGCATTTCTGTCATGGCAAATCTCTCTCGTGAAAGCAGAGCTTAGCACAACTAAAGTAATGCTTGGATTCAACTTCACTAACAGATCAGGCAAAATATGGGAATTAATTTTCACTGGAGCTCATACTCCCACTTAAGCCAGCAGTTCAATGATGGAATTCCAATGGGAATAAAATACCAAAGGATGTTCCAGATGAGAAATACATAATGTGAATTCAGGTCCACAAGATACTGTCACAAAATAATTTTTGACCCAATCATTCATAGAAATCACTTTAAAATTAAAAATTGGTTTCAAGTGTAAATACTAATATAAGACTAATCCAAGCCTCTATCTACTTCTTGCAAAATATCTTCAAACTTGGCATTTTAAAACAGTGTCAGATGTAGAACTGTGTTACATAACAAGAAATGGATATCAATTGCTCCATACCTGGCCATGAAATATATAGTGAAAATCTGATCTTTCTTTTTGGCTGAGAAGGAACTAGGCAGTAAAGAATAGAGCAGTATCTTTCATTTCTTTGATGCAAATACAGATATGGTTGATCCAAATTGAGTCATACTTAGTCATCACTGAAATTCTACTGATTTTGGTGAGTCTAATCTAAATATAACAAAGTCTGGATCTAACCCATTCTTTTCAGAAACTTCCACCAAGATTGAGGTTCTCTCCAATAGCACCTTCAAGAGAATACAAGAGTAATCAAGGTTAATAACCACACACTCCTGCTAATCTAGACAATATTTATACTGGATTTTGTTAATCCTATTTCCTTTAGCAGTTTAGTATGGACAACACTAGATTCAAAACTGACTCTGTATTAGGTATCAGCACTGTCATATCAGCATAACTTAGGAGAAAAATAACTTAGGAGAGATTGCTTTTCTGCCATACAATCAGCCAACTATCTATCTGTTATTTCCATCATCCATTATGAGTAGATATACCAGTTCATCAAAACCAATACATTTTAGGAATTATTGCTCAAGTAAGATCAAGTGTAATGGGGCTGTAACAAGTTCAGCTGATGTCTCAAGAGGAACTTGATCATGGCTGAAAGCATTCAGAAACAGTCACAAAAAGGCTTGTTCACTTAGGCAGACAGACTGCTCTACCTGGAAGTCAGAGACTGATTATACTGACAATTTCATCACCATTAGAAACAGTTACTCACTGTTTAAATTACCTTGAGAACATAAATAAGCTGGTGGTCGTTTAACTTTAAGGATGTAGTTTTGCAGTATTTGAGGACACAAGGTGTTTTTAACTTAAGTTACACAAAAATATGAAAGATGTCCTTAAAACAGTGGTTCTCATTTTCCAGAAAATTGATTCCCAAGTGCACAATGTTGCATTGAAAAAGAATAAGAAAATAATAAAAATATAACCGAAGAGATACACTCACAAAGAAATGTGTTTCCAAGCTGTCACTACTGCAAAGTGACTGTAGTAGTACACAATCTTTCTTCTCTAACTAGATCCATTTCAATTCCACCTACTGAAATATCTTAGATGAAGACAGATTTTTTTCCAGAGGAAAAAAATGGAAAGAGATTTGTGTATATGTATCTGGAAGAATGAAGGGCGGAAAAGTAAGAAACCCAGTCAATAATTTTGCAACATTTGCCTTTTGGTACCAACACAGAGTAGTATCATCTGTTTAACTGCAATAAGTTCAATTCAACGATTGTCAAAAGTTTCGGTCCTCTTCCTTTTTTAAAGCCCGAGTGATTTCTGGACAATTTGCTTGGCGATTTTATTAAATTGCTCCCTGTCCTCCCTCCACATTTTAGAGGCATCCACGTTGGCTCCACTTTCATCATTTGGTTCTGAAATGAGAAATATTTTAAAAGAAAAGAAGACAGAAATGATAGAATTTGCCCAAGTACAATGTTTCTGTGGGCCACAAGGATAATAACCACTGGAAGCAGAATGTATAGGAGACAAAAATTCATCTCTTCTAGTTCATTATGTACAATGTTCCAGAAAAAAGAAGAGTTCAAGCAATTACAACTGCCTAAGATTCAGGAACCATTTTTGCAAGAGGAAACCAGGTAGGAATGTGTGAGGAATCTGTTTCAGGTGGGAATCCTTTGAAGTTCCTGAGCTTGTCCCACCAAACTCTAGTTCATTTTGCAGCAGTCCTAAGCCCAACTTCCTGGTGGGTGCTTACCAGGAATTAAGCCCCATGGGTTGAGCAAGCAGTCCCCTCTTTGGCACCCAGTGCTGTTGCTGGCAGTGGGGCCAGGCTTAGAAGAAGGTCTGTCTCCAGGAATGGCATCTGATGCAACCGCTTGCTGTGCCCCTCTTCTGCATCCTGCAGCCACTCTTCTGGCAGCTGCACATGACGGGAGGTTGCTGGTTGTTCAAGTGAGGGTCCACAAGTGTTTGCAGACTGTATCTGCCAAGGGAAAGTCCCTACTTCCTCCTGATGAGAAAGGACTAAAACACTCACTAGCCATGGAGTCAGCCAAGACACTGAAATTAGTACAGGGCTCACTCAAGTGCAGTTTAGGGGATAAAAATCAATGTATTGCGGTAGTAAAGTATAAGGGTAGAAGGAGAAGCAAAAGGTGTAGGAATAAAATAGGATAAAAGGGGAAGGAAGGGTGAGGGATGATGGATAGTAGCAACCAGAGATACAATACTTAAAGCTGATCCTCAAGTCTTGTTGCACCAGAAGAACAAGAAAATAAGAAACCTAGCACTACACTACTGTATTCGCGTATACCACCTTCAGGTCTATAGCAACTGCTGGTAGGGAAGCAACTCATCTTTTCTTCACGACAAGCAGGCAACATTGCCAGGAGAAGAGCAAAAGGCCCTCTCTTTCTCTAATCTTCAGCCCTTTTATTCCACCCCCCCATCAGCTGACCGAGGAGTGATGGCCAGTCTCTCAATCCTTCCATGCCATGCCTAGCTGCCTGCAGTAAACCATTTGGTCCTGACATCTCAGACATTCTTGGGCCTTGATATGGTTGAGATGTGAATTACTCTCTTAAACTCTGATAGTGGGGTGCAAACTACTCCCTAAGTCACTGGAATTTCTGAACACTATAAATTCCCCTTTGATCAGGACCACCTGGTTCAGTTCTCCACCACCTCCCCACACCCCCCGCCCCTGGGCAGGGATCTCTTCTGCAACATGTACTTCCTCTTCACTTGGCTCACTTTACAGGACCAAGCCAAGCATGAGAGGAAGCCTGCAGACAATAGAGAGACATGTTCCAAAATGGTTTTGTCCCTACCCTGCAAACAAGATCAAGCACATTAAAGATGTATTCAGGTGCATGTAAGTTATGGGCAGGAGTACCTTGAAATCTGGACTCACACATATCACCTCTCTTTCCATCTCCTTCACAGGAAAGAAAGCGAAAGACTTAGGAATGCATCCAGAGCAAACTGTACTATACTTTTTTCCAAACCTGACAAACTATGCATTGCTGCAAATGATGATTAGAAGCTTCAATCACCTCTTATGTTCAGAGGATGTGTTCTAGGCTCCTCCTGCTTGTAATGCCAATCCATGATTTGATATTACACCACAATGTAGTATAAGATTCTGATAGGCATTCTGCCTATTCACTGCTCCCTGCTCCAATTTCCTTCCTTGCAACTTCCAGGTGTTGTCAGACTTCCTTATTCTGCCACATATTGTGAAATCCAATGGATGGATCACAGACTTCCAATGCTCCTGTGGTCTAGATTTTCTGTATTTACATTATGCCCCATGTGCCCAGTGTGGAATGGCAAGAGTTTGAAATATTAGCAACCATGGAGAACTGCCTGTGCTGGGACTGAAAGCAACTCCAGAGAGGCAGGTCAAGAGGCAGAGCTGGCCTACTGTACCATTCAATTCACTGACCCACATTTAGACAATCTGAGCTATTTCATCCTTGTTTAAAATGGATCTTTAAGTTTGATTTTTACATTGCTATTTGGATTATATTATATTCATTCATTTATTGATTTGTAAAATACTGAAGACAGATTAGTGGAAAGTAGAGTATAATTGGTTTAAATAAAGTTAAATAAATATATCTTACGAACCACACTGTGACACTTTTTCACACTTCAACAGGGGGTTATGGTAAGAAGACTTCAAATTACAACTTCATTTGAGAGTTAGTGTGGTGTAGTGGTTTTGAGTGCAGGACTGGAACTCAGACGATCTGGGTTCTAGTCCCTGCTCAGCCATGGAACCAACTGGCTGACTGGGCCAGTCACACTCTCAGCCCAGCCTACCTCACATGGTTGTTTTTTGTGGGGATAAGATTAAGAGCAGGAGGAGGAGAATGGTGTAAGCTGTTTTGAGTTGATTAGGGGGAAAAGCAGGATATAAATATAATAACTAACTTCAAAGACAGAATGAGTACCAATGTTCCCCCCATCATCAGAGTATTGTGCAACTCATCAACCTTGTCCTGCACTATGACCTAGTTCATCAAGGAAGAAAACCTACCTTCTCCAATTTAAGGAAGCCTGAAATTGCATAGGTTCCCTGGACTTGTCAGGAATTGTATTTTTATAATCTGTTTAAGTCACTGCATGGACATAATTAATCTTAGAGAATTTGGGACAGTGGCAAGTTTCAAGGAATAGAAAACTACATCTAAGTGAATCTTAGCTACACAACTTTCAACTCTCAAGGCATTTATCTAGCTCTAGAAAGCACATAAGCCTTCATCCAACAATTACAAAAAGCAACAATGTAGCCAAATATTTCAACCACTAATCTAGGATGGGCTACTATGAACATGGTAATCAGATAAACCAGATAAAAAAAATTGTTACTGTTTGAACAGTCTTCATAACTTAGTGGCTGCAGATGAATGGTTAATTCATACCTGCCAGCATGCTGACCACAGACAAGAGGATCTTCTCCACACTTTGTACTGGGCTCCATCGTTCTGCACTGCTTTCATAGCCCATTGGGTCATCCCCAGGAGCATGAAGAATAGAAATGCAAACTCTCCCATCTGGATAAACTATGGAGAAGAAAAGAAGCATTTCACAAATGAAGCAGGTGGCTTTGGCTTCCTCCACATAACAGTGGTCAAGAAAAATGCCACTGGAAGAACATATTGAAAACACAATTAAAAAGGCAAATTCTAATAACTTACATGATGGAAACTCTCAGGCCAATGATATAATTAAAATGAACCTAAGAAATTAGATGGGAGCAGATTATGGCAGTTGGGAGCAGATGGTTGTAATAATTACATACTCTTTCAGCCCCAATCTTATTCATCCACATCAGGAGTAACTTATGGCTTTCCAGATGTTTTAGCCTAAAGCTCCCAGCATCCCTTACATGGTTATGCTAGCTAGAGCTGATGGTGGACAAGACCATCAGAAAATTGAGAGAGCTTCTAACTAAGGTAACAAATATAAACATCAAGGCATCATTGCCCAGGCATTGGGCAAAGCATTTTCATGCCAGCAAAGACCTGCTTTCTGGGTTATTGGCACACCAAGGAACAGAAAATGAAGGGGGTTCTTGGAGGATTGGGGAATGGGAAACTAACTGAATTAAAGCTTAATGGATCAGATTACACTAAGACACCAAAAGGGTCAAGTCAGACATTCTTCTATCCCTAACAGCTTCCACTTCTGGACGGTACAGAAATGCAATAAATAAAATCAAATTTCACTAAGAGCACGCCATGACACAGTAGGGGGATTTTCCAGGAGCATGTGCATCAACTAAAAGCAACTTCTCCATGATGCCATATATAATTTAAATAAGGCACTTAATCAAAGTGAATATTTCTCAAGCCTACATTTGATAAATTTAGAATTACTATTTTAGAAGGTTTTTGTAATGACTCCCCCTTCAATACAAATACCAAAAGTAACAGGTAAACTAATTTGACCACAGTGAAGTAAAGCACGGTGAACATAAACATTCACTTCTAAATGTGCCAGGCAACAATTTTCATCATCCCCAGCAGTGACACCAGGTTGGGAAAAGTTCGTATAGCATTTGAAACTCTGAGAATGCAAAAGCTTCCAGAATATTTTTAGTGAAAATGGAATATAAACTCTTAAGACATTTTTCATTGTAGAAATAAAAGGGGAAATTCATATTATTAATCTGGGAAATTCCAGAATCAGTGCAGCATATTTCCCTTATGTTATGTCCAAACATTGTTTCTAAATTAGTCATTTTAAAATATTTTTGATTGTGAATGTTTTAGATAGATCTTTTGGGCAGGAAATATAATTTTGAAGAATAATTGTATGAAGAATTACTTATCATGTTTTTGAAATGTGCATGCTCCCATTCTCTTCTGATCAAAACCCTGATTAAAAACATCACCCCCCCACACCCCCCCCCCCAGGTACCTCTTATAAATGGCTGTATTGGCCCAAACACCGTATAATCTTGACTTAGTTTTTGTGCCTGTGTGTGCTTGAATAAACCTTTGGCGCATCCTTAATCATTTACCTTGCATTAGTGTTTTATGCCATTCCTCTTTTTGATGGCTTTATATGAGGTGAAGGTAGACCTTATCATGAATTATTTATGCTGTTCTAACCCAGCAACGGGGGGGGGGGGGGTTTGGCTCTGGTTTTATTTTGTTTTAATCCTCCCCCAGTATTATTCTACCATCTGTCCAGCCACTCTCCACCCAAAATACAGCATATTTAAATGGGTAATTGAAAGAGGCACATTTTCATATTTTCCCTTCAGCTAACATCTGTACAAGTTTGCAACATGTTAAGTTCTATATATACACATTATTCTGTTTACTCCCTCTCCAAAGCCCTAGGGTAGGGATTGGTTGCTGGTCTATCCATAGCTATGGGAAAGGAAGACACTTTGATGAATCACTATTATTTATGAGCAGGACAAGGGAGCAGGCAAAGATGACATGAATGCAATATCCCAATATACAAGTGCATGCTCTCTCTTACACACACACACACACACGCACCCTTACATACTATTTTCAAATTCTGGTTTTTCTTCTCTGAGTTGCTATTTCAAATATTTCTACCAGTTGCCTCTAATGCTCTCAAAGGAATATCAACCATTCATACATGGGTGGATTAAGGCTGTGGGAATCATTGCTGTGAATATTTCTTTTAAATGGAAAATATACAGAACCCAACTACATGCTGCAACCAAGTCTGCAGAATGTGGGCAAAATGTCCTCAGAAACTGAGCAACTGGCAAGCCAAACGTGCTGAATCTGTGTGGCACATTACAAGAAACAAAAGGAGGGTTTCAGAAGCAGCACCCATTTCATACTTTAATAAGCTCTGCAGTATCTGCAAGGATTTCAACCCTTCAGGGCTTTTTTCTTGTATAATGCATGTGAGGCCAGAGTACTTAAGACATAAAGAACTTCAAGAATAAGTCTAGGCAAATAGTAGTAAGGAAAACGTTTGCAATGGGGGTCGCTTTCAGCAGCAAAAAGTTAACCCACACAGAATGCCTGTGTGTCAGTTCAGGAATTGAGCAATTTCCCCCAGTCCAGATCATTTCTAGTGGTGAAAGCAGGCTAATGGAAAGCATATAAAGCAGCAAAGTACCTGCACATCTCATTCCACTGCTCTGGGCAGCCCTATGCTCCATATATGTGAACACAGAAGATTCCCTCCTCCACCACCCATTGCTTTCTTTGTGGAGTAGAAATTTGGACAGCTGCACTGTCATTCTTAATTTAGCTCTATGTCTCTTTAGCTGGTTCTGTTACTGGACCAGGGATGTAGACCCAGCCTTTCTGAGTTCATCAGATGACCAGAAAAACTCAGGATGGAAAGATTTTCCCCCCTGTAAGAAAAGGTAAGAAAGGGGGCAAAAAGAGGATGTAAGGGACAATGAGTCAAGCGTTTTAAATAGCAGGGGGTCAAACAAAGGAACTAACTTTGTCCTGAGAAAAAGGAGAGGCCTATCTGGGGAGAGAATTTCAAGATCATAGCACAAAGCAAAGATTTTAAATCATGTAGTTGTTGCCTTTTCTGAAAGGCCTCTGCCATACCAAACTGTTTTAAGGGCCCTTCAACATTTTTAGGCTTGAGCTAGGAACTGAATGAAAGGTTAATGGGGATAATGGAATTAGATGGAACTCTTTACCTATGTGGAAAACAGAATGTCACCCACTGGTAAAACTTACAGATTAGAAAAACTTACTATTGGGATGAAACATCTCACACGTGAACCTCATTTTTGGAGGACTTAAGGGATAATCAAGAGGAAAACTCAAAATCGCCGGAAAAACACCATACTCAAAACAAGTATCTTCTGGGCCCCTATAAACAAGATGAAATATTACTGTAGCATGAGACCATTCAGCATTATTTTAAAACCAACCACAAAATATTAACTACTAAGAATGAAAATATTGAAGTTGAACTGGACTGTAATAGGTTGCCATCAAATGCTTTGGTGCTTCAAGGAATTATCCACTAAAATGTAGTTGTGAACAGAAGCAGTAGAACCTGGACGTAGTTTTTAATTAGTAACACAGATTGAAATGAATTAGTTATAGTTTCTCTCTGCTGTAAACTGATCAGAAACTTCAATAGGATGTCTTAAATATAATACAATAAAATCAGTTCAATGCACTTCTGGCATCTATTTAATTTTTTTCTATATCATCATTCATTAAAAATCTCATGGCGGTTTACAATTAAAAATAGTAATTCAACAATTGTTGTTAGTTGCAAAGTCGTGTCCAACCCATCATGACCCCATGGACAACATTCCTCCAGGCCTTCCTGTCCTCCACCATTCCCCGGAGTCCACTTAAGCAATCAAAACTTCCTTAGTGCCAGTACTTAATGCTGAAATAATTAAAATGCCATTTAACAATTTAAAAACTAGGTAAATAAAAAGGTTTTGGCCTGGTAATGGAATGAATAAAGTGTTAGTGCCAGGTATGGGAGTTCCTGGGAAGTGATGGGGTGCCCCCATAGGGGTGGTTATGGGCAGAGGAAGGTATGGCACTGGGAGTTTAACAGGTCGTCACAGAAGAAGGGGGGACAGATGGTTAATACCTGTCCCTCTTCTGGTTTTATCCCCAGCTGGAAGGTTCCAAGCAGTGATATCAACTGGCCTTCAGGCTTAATGGTACTGTTGTTGAGTGCCAGGTCAGTCCAAAACAAATCACCCCTCATCCAGGATTTAGTCGGGAATGAGGGGGTCAACCTGGCATGTATCACGAAGACCTGGGCGGGAGAAGCATGGGGTGTGATACTCACCCAGCTGTGCCCACCCAGATATCTGATTCATCACCAATCTTGCCTAGAGATAATGGGAAGGGGGAAGGGCGTCACCCTAATTCATAGAGATACGATCTCCCAGGGCTTCCAGTCCACTTAAGATCAGGTCTTAAGTGTTTGTACTTGGTGTTGGGTGATCAAGACAGACTGGGGATTCTGTTGGTGTACCATGCACCCTTCTGCTCAACAGACTCCCTGCCTGAGCTGACAGAAATCATCTCGGACCTGGTGTTGAGGACCCACAGGATGTTGGTCCTGGGGGACTTCAATCTCCATGCCAAGACTGTTCTGACCAGGGCAGTTCAGGACTTCATGGCTGCCATGGCAGCCATGGGCTGTCTCAACATGTCACCAGCCCAAAACATGAACAAGGTCGCACTCTGGACCTGGTCTTTTTGACAAGGGAAGAAGATGGTGATCTTCTTTGATGGGGCAAGAAGATGAAAGTGAGGGATTTGACATTAATCCCTTTCTCATGGTCAGATCATCTCCTTGTGATGTTTAAACTTGGGGTTGGTTTTACCCTTTGAAAGGGTGTGGACCCTATTAAAATGCTCCGCCCCCAGAGTCTTATAGATCCAGATGGATTTCTGAGGTCTCTGGGGGAATTTCTGGTTGATAAGACTGGCGCTCCTGTTGACTCCCTGGTTGATCTGTGGAATGGAGAACTGGTCTGGGTGATTGACATGATAGCTCCTAAATGTCCTATCCTGCCAAGCAGAGCCCACATGGCACCTTAGTATACACCCAAGTTGTGGGCAGTGGAGCGGGCTGGGAGATGACTAGAGCGTAGGTGGAGGAAACCCCGTGCTGAAAACACAACTGAGAGCCCATTATGGAGCCTATGCACAAGGCAGCTCTGCTCATGACATGCCTACCATGTGCATGTCCAGCCTGTCCAGTCACTTACTCTTAGCCTCTTCCTTTCCCATTCTATAGATGGGATCTAACCTTGATTATGGCAGATTCAGTGAAATAAATATGAAACGTTAGTCCTGACTAATTGAAGTTTTTCTGATTTCAACTGGTCTAATTGTTCTTAAACAATTAAAGCAGGATCCAACTAGGAATGAGAATAAATTTGTTTGGTCTGCATTTTTAAGCAAACTGATATAATTCACAGTTCCTACAATAATGTGTGGGTTAAAAGCTAGTTATCCTTCAGTTTTTCTGCTTCCAATTTTATAATGCAATTTACCATCAAGATTACTTGCAAAAACATGCATTTCTGAAGAAATAGTGGGCAAAATTAAATGAAAATTTCCATACTTTTAAGATTTCTCACTAATGAAATCAGACAGAACCCATTTTCCATCATGATGAATGAGCACAGACAAAACTGACATGGGCTGCAAAAACAGACTCATTTGTTAATCCCGAGATCCACTGTTATGCCTATTTACTTACAACAGATGCATCCCAACAATTTGTTTTCAGTGCATTACACAATCTGGGTAGGCAATATTCCCAAGAGACAGGAGGCAGCTCATATAATAGGCGCAGGGATTTGCTGCAGCTATATACATGGTATTGCATTTATTCATATTTACTTCTGTATTAAGTTCTATAGTCACCAACAACAACAGGAACCAAGACTGAAGCAGGAGAATCCAGTGATTAAGCTAGTGTCACATTTTCCACTTATTTTCTCTACAGTGACCAGATGGTTCTTCCTGTAGATATTGTTAGAGCTATTAAATTCTCCTACACATTTAGCATATAAATACTCCTCTAATGATACCAGAAAAAAAATAGAAAACATTCTCCCTTAGGCTTTGCTGCTTCAAATGCCACAGATCAATAAAGGGGTCAATTGCTCTAATTCAACCTCCTTGCCTTAATCTGTGCTTTTTTCTCATATGGTAGGTATACATGCACATAAGAAACAGATATGAACGGTTCAATGAAAAGGGCTTTAAATAGCTGTTAAAGAAATTACAAGGAAGAAATGAAACACTGAGCATGCAAAGTACCACTGTTTTAACTAATTTATGTTGATTTAGCAGTTAAGGTATTAACCATGAAATCTTTTTTATTTACATCCAGGTGATGTTGAGAACGAAAGGAAGTCTCATGAATAAAGGTATTAAGGGCCTACGAGACTACTGAAATTATCATGGGTGATTAAATAATTTATTTTTAGAAAACAAGATTTGATTTTTAAAATACCAGTTATATTAAGCCATGTGTTTAAAATTAACTTGAGAGATCAATTTAACCCATATTAACAAGTTAAATTTTATACATTTAAGAGGTAAAGGTGGAGAATTATTTGATTTCTAAGGTCAACCATATCACTTGATGAGACCCCCCCCCCCTCATACAAGCATATCACTTGATGAGACCTCTCTCTCTCTCTGTCTCTCTGTCTCTCTCTCTCTCTCACACTCACTCTCACACACACACACACACACACACACACACACACACACAACTTCTTTTGGTGAGCCTTGATTTTTTTAAAAGTGCCGATAAATGTGTACTGACTGGATGGTGGCCCTTATATTCAAGTAAGTGGCTTTATTTAGCGTTCTTGAATATATACAGAAAACTGAACAGAAATGCATTTAACAATTACATCTTCCCCTCTTTGTTTCTATGGAGATATAACTGTTTATTAGAAAAGAAACGTGAGCTGCATAACTAAAGCTTTGGGAGTATGCTTCTAAATTGTATGAATTACAATTTAATTGCAAGCAACTCTGTTCTAATAGTTATACAAACCATTAGTTTGTCCTATTGTTCAGGCCCTACATAATTTACTGAAAAGGAAACTTAATCAACTGTCTGCTCCAATCAAGAATTCATATTTAACTATTATCAATTTAAATTTCTCAATCCTAATTAGCAGCTGGTATCATTAAAGACAAGAGACACCTGTGTATAATTGCAGTCCTTTTACTGTAGATAGTCCCCATTTCTTTCTTTTTTATTGAGTAGGACCAAATTGTGAGATACATCCACTCTTCTTACACTCATGGCTTTGCTTTGCCATTATTTTTATACCTATCCTGTAACCTGCATTCAAAGAGAAAATTAGCAGTTCACCTTTTCCATAAGAAAAAGCCCTAGTGTGTTTACAGAAATGGTTATTGCAGGTTATATTCTTTAACTGACCAGTTCACACTGAGATAACTCCTTATACTCCTATATAAGAAATGGAGCACATGATGAACATAATCCAGCTCATATATTGGAACGAACCCATGGTATTTTCTTTTTACTTTCTGCCTACAGAACTCTTTATTTCAGGTTCACTAGATCCTTCTCCCTACAAAGGTCCCAAAACATGTAATTCAGGGCTAGACAGCTTGTGGACCTCTAGATGTTTTTCCTACAAGTCCCATCAATTTCCTGATTGAAGGATACTGAGTGAGCAGGTGATCTGCCAATGTGTGTACAGAATGCTGGACTGGATGGACCTTTGTCTGAATCCAGCATGGCTTTTCTTATGCTCTTATCATTCTTAACCACTGGCTATGCAGGCTAAAGCTGGTAAGAGTTACAGGCCAAAGCATATGGAGGGCTTCAAGTTGTCAGCTCACCCATAATGTAACTGCTATGATAACTTTGTTCAAGGTGACAGTTTGCTAACATTATTTGAGCAGGCCTGATAAACTACTTAAACAACCCTGAAACCATAATCACAGACACCATAAAAAGGACAGTAACTATATATCTCAGCCCATCATCTTACATCTAGTTCTACAATAACAGAGCCAATACACTTTATACTAGTTTCCAAATTTTCAGTTGCTGCCTTAGCATAGGGCAATGCTGGTTTTAGACAGATTGGAAAGACCAAGCTATCATTTTTTAGAAGTAAGTATAAAGGGTTAAGGTGTTCTCATCCATTCCTCCTAACCTAAAACAAAAGTTGAAGGAGAGAGAAATGAAAGCTTGCACATTAAATTGCTATGAAGGTCACAACACTGCTTAATTACCAGGGTGTGTTCATTCAATTATACTCAATCTGTCTCCAAGGCATGTTCCAGATTTTAGTGGCTGCACGTCAGATATTGCTGGCAGGTGCTGATCTTGCTGCTTTGAAGATACTGTTATACTGCATGGACAAGGGTGTCAAAAATTGCCATTTAAAAGGTGCCATATAGCTAAGTTTTATGAGATAACTCCTCTAAAAGTTATATAGAAAGGTGTGCTTGTGAAAATTTAACGTAAACTCAAGTAATAAAAGCACCCTCTAAATGTATAATAGAATGTGCAGGCTGAAAGCTTTTAAAAGAAAGCATATCTGAGACACACACCTAGCTTATAAATGGGTGTGTAAGTATACACAGAAACACTAACCATGATTTCAGGCAAGTTTAATCACTAAAGGGAAAATCTCCCAAAAAATGTGCACACAGTGTATTTTAGATAGTAGCAAATTGTTTTGTGCCCAGTTGAAATAAACCAAAAGTATTAAAATACAGGAGTTAATTTCAGAAATGCAGTCACCATAAGAATAAGTCAACCTCATAGAAGTTTCTTATCTGCTGAATACTCCACAAAATCAATCTCTGTCTTTCATGTAATTCTTCCTTTTGTTCAATCTCGCACATTACTGCTTAGGGTTAAAATACTTACTCCTCCTTTGAAGGACAATAACAAAAATCTTCCCATTTTATTCAGAGTTCATTTCAGCAAAACCTCTTTAACTGCCATAGCCTCACTTTGGCTGCATCTTTATTGCTATCCCTTTCACAAGACCCACTCTCTTCTGTCCAAACCTATTCTCCTAATATGACTTGTAAGCCCTTGGTACAGTAACCTCATTTTGCCCTCAAAATTCTGTTATGTAAATTGGGCTAAGACTTATCTATGGCCACCTAGTAGCCCAATGAATTCCATAATACTTAAGTCAGGTCTAACTTGTCCAAATTATTACACCCATATCTAAATTCAACTAATTCAATATGTACACATTCCTATGACCTTTACTGTACTTGATGCTATAGGTGCCCAGTTACAATGCACTGCTAGTAAAAAGGAGCCTAAATTGAGGGCAGGAAGCTAACAGTTGTTAAAACAATCCAAACTGAATGGGACAGGCCAGCAGAACAAAAGGGAGCACTACTGACCTGTTCCAATTCAGAACACAAAGCACTAATTCCCTGTTGAATAAAGGGTGGGTCTCATCTGGAACAACAATCAGCAGGATCACAGACACTCTGTTAGCTTCTGCCCTCAGTCTCTAAAATGGAGGGGATGGATGTCATGTCAATCCATACGCAGGCATGAATGTAAATGTCCCTGTCAAACAACAAAATACCCTTTGCAAAGAAACTGGAGTTTTGGCAGCTAGTTGCAAACCTCTGTGCAACAGTAAAAGGAGACAGGCAGCACTTTTCAATCTTCCTGACCACCTAGAGTTGCAGGAAAGGGTGGGAAATCAGGTGAGTATTTGCTTACAGAATAGCATTCTTCAAACGTTCAAAGGCTTCTCTGTACTTAACAATTCCTGACAGTTAGGTGCAACATAGTTAGATAAAGAACATTGTCTAAAATCACATTAAAACAGCTCAAGATCTAGGAATAGCATGAAAAATTTCGGAAGTAAGAGATGTTATAGTTGTTTCACTAGCACAAGACAGAAAAAATATTTTGACAAATTAAACAGCCATGACTTTACACGCACCTTAGAACATAAACAAAAACATAGGCTAACAATTTTGCTTTATATCAGTAACATACAATTACAGAAATAAAAGGGTAATGCACCTCCATATGAACATCTGCTAAAAGAACAAACACTTGTGGGAGGTCATTTAATGCTGTAATAATTGTTTTTAAGTATATTTATGAACTGTTTTCATGAAAGCAGCTGCAATCCATCCCCAATCTCACAGTGTACAATGGGGAATTCCAAACTGAAATAAACATAAACATTAAAGTCCTATACCTAAAATATAATTACTTTTCTAGACAGGTTTTTGAAATGTTGGCTTAAATTTGTACTTGCTATTTTTAAGAGCAGCCTTTAGGCTAACCAGGTTCTAACAATGAAAGTTTTTGTATTATTTTGTAATTGTTATAGCAGTGAACACTATTTTCAAATGTCATCAATTCTGAGAGAATGTAGTAATGCACACACATCAGGTTAATTGATTTGCACACTATAGTACCCACACAGCATGCCGCTGGAAGTCATTTTACATTATAGAACTATTTATAACTATATTGCATGATGATATGCAGTCTTTCAGTAGATCTCAAGCTTGCAAGCACACTAATTTATTTGCACTTTAATGTAAAAAGTCCAAAGGTGCGCATTTATCTTTTAGAAGCTGTACGTAAGATTACAATACTTGTTCTTGTGCACAAGAAAACATGTATGGTTTTGGGGAAGCGCAATATCTACTGAACAATAGAGGAAAACTGTACATTTACACTAAAAAAAATTGAAATCAATGGGACTCTTTCCAAAAAAAATATGTAGTCAGGATCAGCTCCTTTGTCTTTACAGCATTAAAAGAATTAACATTATGAGGCTAGTGGATTGTTTCTTCTTGTACATCTGAACATTTGCCACACTTTTATTCTTCATTCCTGACACCTCATATCCTTTAACTATCTTTGCAATATATAAATTACACATACTGACAATCACATCAGTGAATATTTTGAGAAGTCATAAAAATATTACAGCTTTGTTTAATTCTTCCAAACTAATACTTTAATACAATTTTATGATACCGGGTTCCAAAGTAAATAAACAGAAACACTTGCCTCGTTACTGATAGTTTAATATTAGAGTCACTTGTAAATTGAGCACACTTGTAAATTGAGCATTCCCATTTGTAAAACCAGCTGAAGCAGTCCTCAGTTACACCTAAAAAGTTCTACAGTGACAAGGCAAGTTGTTGATATACAGCTAAATCTGCTCCGAGAAAGAAAAGCTTCAAGTAAGCCTGAGCGTTACACAGCAGAAGATAATATTCACAATTTAACAGTTCCAAAAATTGTTGGTCAATTTTTCTTATGAATATTGATTGATTTATATCCTGCCTTTTTCCTACAAAGGGCTCAAGGCAGCTTACATCTCCTCCTCCATCTGATCCCCACAACAACAACCCTGTGAGGTAGGCTGGGCTGAGAGTCTGTGACTGGCCCAAAGTCACCCAGTTGGCTCCATGGCTGAGCGGGGACTAGAACCCAGATCGTCTGAGTCCCAGTCCCATGCTCTTAACCACTACACCACACTGGTCTCTGCCATGGCAATATCTGCCATGTCTTCCTTTGGAACATTAATTATAAAACAAAATTTGTTTGCTTGCCATTTAATTTACTGTCATATAGTTCTTATTATTAAAATGTATTAGTCTATGACTTAAGGTCACTTGATCAAAATTTGTACTGAAATTTAGCAGTTACTTTGTTTAGTTTAAATCCCACCTTTACCCCACAGAAAGGCATACAAAGTGACCAGTAATATTGCAGTTAAAGTAGAAAAACAGACCCATTAAAGCCGAGTTAATAGCAATAGCAATAAAAGGAACATGAAACACCCAACTAATTAAAATTCCCTTCAGCAGCAGACCAGCTTACATAGCAAAGATCTGCCTAAATAAACATGTTTGCCTGCTGGACAAATAGAGGAAGCCAACTTACCCTCCTCTGAAAAGGGACTCCAGAAACCTCTTTAACATGGTCTTTTCGAATCTGATAAAAAGAACTTCCAGATCAATGATCTGGCATCTAATTTAATTTCTCCCAACATATACTGCTTTTTCCATAGCCACAATTTTCTCTGAAACTTTAAAGATGGCAAATATGACCATCTAAAGCCAGTCCTCTACCACCTTCACTGCATACCAGTTGAGGTTTGGGTCCAATTTAAGATGTTAACATTAGTGTTTAAAGCCCTAAACGACTTGGGGTCTGGGGCATCTAAAGGAGTACTTCTTCCTATATGATCCTACCCAGCCCTTAGATCTGCATCCTCCCTTCCGAGAGAGCCCCCTCCTCAGGATATAAAGAGGATGTTGACAAGAAGGGAGAGGCACCCTAAATTTCAGGAGTGACACCCCAAATCTTTATATTCTTTTTGGCACCAGATAAAATACCTATGAAATAAAAAGGTCTTAATTGCTAATCTGTCTTTAATTATGTGTATTTTAATATGGTATGCCTTGTATGTCAGTTCTATTAAGATGTGATAGGATGTGCTTTTGTTTTTATCTGATTAAGTGTTTGTAATGTTTTATATGGTATTATTGCTTGTAACCTGCCCAGGGAGCCATGTAGCTAATGGGGCAGGCTAGGCATCAAATAATAATTAATAAACTAAAAAGCAGACTGCCAAATGACAGCAAAAATTATCTTTCAAAAGAAAACGAAAATTGAATGAAAGTAATCCTGGGCAATTGTAAATTGTACTAGCGTTCATAAATAACTGTGCTCCTGACTGGAGATACCTGTGATTACAAGACATGATCAGTAAAGGTTTTACTTCTTGGCCACACTTTATTGGCCACAGAGTCATTCTTGGCTTTATTTCTTAATACAAACACCCTCCTCATTGGAAATCACACAGCCATTACAGAACAAGGCATTTTGATATATTTCAGGCAGAAGACACAGCACTAGCTAATGCTCTGCTAAGGAATAGAAAATGGAAGTGAACCATTCTTTCCTAGAAAGAGATTTGAGACAAACTATTGACTTCCCTTCTGAAATGACATCAAAATGCAAAATGTTTTAGGCATTTCTTGAAACTGGCAAGTTCATCTGCATGGTTTGACTGAATTTGAGGATGGGACTATGGTAAAGAAAACATTTCCAATGCCAAGGTTCCCTTCCTTTAAATGAAAATGTGAAGCAGAGCCTGTCTTGTTGGGATAAGCTAGAGAAGTGCTCACTACCTGTTCAATCTGCTTTTAAAAACTGCTAAGGGAAAACAGAACACAGAAATAGCTTGGCCATACTTAGGCCACTGATGCCATCCTTTTTCCACATTATCTGAGCCTACCCAAAATGGTGTGCTGGCATCTTCACACCTACAATATATCCTGTATGCCTCCATGACCAGTATTACTTATCTTGCAAGTTCTTCCTAGTAACACAGTGAAGATCAACATATGAAGTAAACAACAAAGAAGAGAAGCCTATGCAGCTGGCAAATTTTGTTCCATGTAAAACCAGGAAACTAGTTATTATTGAGCTCTATAACCTTGCACCATTTGGAAATCAAGCATATGGTGAGTGTGCTTGTGTGGATGGGCAGAAACACACAAACTGAACATTTTCAGAGGATTCCCGAAACTTGACAGTATTAGAAAACTCCTGAAGAATTGATCACTGTTTCTCTTACTGCCCACCAGCACATATTTAGGTAATTTAAATGCACAGTACCTGATTAACTTACATTATCAATGCTTCCCACTCAAAGAAATTCTCTTCATTCATAGGCCCTGTTAAAAATGAAAAACAGTATTTTATTACAGGCTTCCTGATTCAAGTTATACAGATATAAAGTAATAAATAGGATTCCTTACCAGCTACTATGCCTTCTGGTGGATTCAGAGTCAACTCTAAAATTAACAAGAAATATTCTTATTATTTATTTTATTTCTATATCACCCCATAGCTGAAGCTCTCTGGGTTTTACAAGAAACCACAAAAACAAAACAATTAAATGCAAGTCCAAGATCATAAATCCAAAACAACATAAAAAGGAACTTAAAACTGCTAAAAAGTACAATTCAGAATCACCTTTATAAAAAGAAAAACCTGGAATTGGTAATCCCCTCATGCAAGCAGATCTTTAAAGGCTTCAGCAGAAAGGTCTGTCTTAACGTGGTACCCAAAAGATGAGAAGGCTGGTGTCAGGCTGACCACAGTGGGGAGGTTGTTCCATAGGTGGGGTGCCACAACAGAGAAAGCCCTCCCACTTGTCACCTTCTGAGACTTCCTCAGAGTTGGCATTCAGAGGAAAGCCCCATAGGCTGAGCATAGTGTCCAAGCAGATTGCAGATGGGAGAGGTGTTGTAGTCCCAAGCTGTGTAAGCCTTTATAGCTAACACCCCACACACACCCGACAGCACCTTGAATTGGGCCTGAAGCATACAAGCAACCAACAGGCCCCAATTATTAATCTAGCTGCTGCATTCTGCATGTGCTGCAGCTTCTGAACAAACTTCAAGAACAGCCCCACATACAGGGCATTGCAGTAATCTAATTAAGAGACAAAGAGTACTGAAACCAGGCTATCCCTGTCTAGACAGGGGTGTAGCTGGACCACCAGCTGAAGCTAGTAGAAGGCACTCTGAGCCATTGAGGCCACCTGAGCTTCAAGAGACAAAGACAGATCAAGAAAAACCCTCAAGCTATGAACCTGCTCCTTCCAGGTGAGTGCAACCCCATCCAGAACAGGTTGAAAGCCCTCTGCTTTGTCAGAGGAACTGAACATCCTCTCAGTCTTGTCTAGATTCAGCTTCAGTTTATTAGCCCTCATGCAATCCACCGTTTCAGCCAGAAATTGATTAGCACATCTACACCCTCACCTACTACCAATGAAAAGGAGGAACAGAGCCACTTGTCATCAGCATACTGCTGGCAGCACACTCCAAAATTCCAGAGGGTCCCACTCAGCAGTTTCATGGAGATGTTCAATAGCATGGGGAACAGAGCAGGCCCTCCAAGGAATTCCATGCTAGAGAATTTACGAGGGTGAACAATATTCCCTAACTAGGTTGGAAATTGAATCCTGCTTTAAAACTGGCAATTAAATAGCATCCTTCAGCATACCTGATGCCAGCGGGCTTGCTCAGAGGGTAAAGACCAGGTCATGTTGTACACTCAGCTCTGCCTTCCAAGAGAAGAAAATGGCTATGGAGCTCAGGAGGAATGACCAAGGGACCCCCACTACTGCCTCCCAACTTCCACCTGAAGCTGTTGCATCACTTTGTCTAGTGGTGGGGCCAGGCCTGGAATAGGGTCATGCTAGTAGTGCTAGCACTAGAGCCACCTCAGAGGAATACCATGGTTGATGTTCCTGAAAGCCACTGGGAGGTTAAGTATCAACAGGGTTGCACTGGCTCTCTCCCAGCATAAGTCAGCATACAGGACAACCAAGGCTGTTTCCATGC